ATACAAATAGCTGTAATGAGTTGTGCATTGTTTGCCTGGGATTGTAAACGAGAAATAAACAGACCTACCTCGAGAGTTAAGTCTGTTATGCCAGTTGAAATAATTAAAGAACTTGTCGAAACCTGGTCGAAAACCATTGTAATAATTCTTGACATGGTCTCATCTTTTCAGAAGCTTCAAGTGAGAATGACGGTGACGAACAAACGACGCAAACAAGATGCACTAATGGCATAAAGGAAATAAATCAGATATTTCTGTGTTTCTGTTAAATGCCCGTGCCACAAAATGGACCACTCTTGTACCCGCTTGTGCAGATGTTATAATTTCAAAAATCCATTCAATTCCAAAGAAGTGGTGGTGATAAAGAAGAGTCTGAAGAGAGGCTGTAGGTGCGGAGTTGGACGAAAGAGTAAAGGGGCTAGAGAACCAAATACAAGTCACAAGTCGTGTCGAGACGGTCTCTACAAGTCGAAGTGTCCGTGTGCAGCGGGTGGCGTAGGATGCACCGAAGTCTGCGGATGCTTCGATTTTGGAAACATTGTTCAAGCTCGAGCTGAGCCAGGAAAAACCTCTGAACGAAAGAAGCGAAAAGGGGCGACGGTATCTCCATATAAAAGGAAAAAAAGGGTCCCAGTTCATGAAAGGTCAAAATGCGGAGGCGGATTGTAGACCCTGCCAGGGAGAAACATTAAAACCCTTTGTCTGATGGTTTGCCGGGACGTGTTGCAAAGTCAGGGACTTTCCCTAAATTCTAAAACTGCGTAATTTTTATGATTTTGTGGCTAAGTCTCCTGCAGTTGTGGACATGTCTCTAAACATAACTGCGAAGTCTACAGCCCAAATAGCGGCTGAAATAGCGCGCCTAAGAGGCATTGATCCACACTCTATCAATCCACAGAGAAATTACCTAGAAAATACAGCATTGTGTCAATATTGAGTGATTACATAGATTTTGTATGACTATTTTTGTTCTTTTGTATCTTGCTATTATTAATAATAGCCAAAGTTCCAGACTGTGTATTTCATGTTATTTTGGAAAAGGTATAGCTAATCGTATGCGAACTCGTTCATGTTGGATTGCTTCAGAATAAGTAAAACTTGTTGCATGTTTAATTGACCACAATAGTTTTCTGAATTACCCATATAGTTCTGCATTCCTCCATTGACGGCATTCTCTCTTTTACTTGTTGTAGAAGAGTGTTATCAAAGAAGTAAACACGTAGAAAAAAAAATTAATTTGTGTGTAAAAGAAAGATGTAATGACTGGAAAGAACAGGTTATCCGCTACAGGATGACTTAAGAAGAGAGTCTGCATTTGCTTTAATTGCTGCCATTTGAACTGACAACTAAGTAATGGATAACCCTTTTTCGTTTAGCTCTGCAGGTTTACTACGATCGCTTGAGCACTAAGTGGTATTTACGGCCTATTCCGGAATAAGAATTCAATAATTTTTTGAGGGGGCNAAAAAGGAAGCTGGAGTTCGATTGTTCTTCGAGGATCTCCGAGTAACTTCAGAGACCCTCGGATAGTTTTCGGTTAATCCTCGGAGTATATACTCGGAGCTCGTACACTCGTCGGAAAAATCTTGAAAAAAGAAAAAAAGAAGAATTGAAAAATCAAGCCTTCAAAAATTCAGGGCTCTCCGGGTAACTTCGGAAACCATCGAATAATCTTCAGGTTAATCATATTCGGAGTTCGTACTCTCGTCGGAAAATCATCGGGGTCGTTTTGAATAAAAAAACAGACGTTGGAAAATTCAGGCGGAATTCCTGATTCCGGATTTTCCAGCTTATCATATAGCTTGCAACTTAAAGCAAGAAAGAATTCCGTGAACTACACTATTACAGTCGCAGTGCGCTCGACAATAGCTGTGAAATTTACACTTTCGATCGTTGTCTACACGGGTGGCCTAGCCAAAAGTCAATTTTCGCTTGTGGCGAGGCAAAAACAAGAGAATTGGAAATCAAACAAACTATTTTTGAAGCATGTGTCCTAAACCCCTTTCATAAGAAAAAATTAAGGAAAATTTTTTTTGGACGAGAAGTCGAGAGGAACGTCCTTAGCGGCAGTGGCACTTAAGAAGAAAGATGTTGCATTTTTTTTTATAATGTGACTCTAAATTGGCCAAGCCACACATCCACAACTTAATTACAGAAATATCGATGAGCGAGGTGGCATCCCCTGGCCTAGCCTTCCCTTTCTGAGGTCTCGTCGATCGCCCTGCTAGACTGCTGAATTCGTATTGATATTACTTCTGAATTGGTTAATAAATGATGACGATGATGATAATCATCCTTCCTCATAATGTGCTTTCCACCTTTTTCCAGTTCCACGCATAACATCACATCCCATCACACTGTGTGGCCAGTAGTCGTGGATGTATTGGCTTTTTTAATAACTGCAGTAGTTTTCTTTCGCTTGCGTGGGCGCTACTGCAAAAAGAATATCTCGTACGAGCCCCAAATTGACGCACAAGCATCAAGTAAGCACTCCACACCTGCCAGCATGTAGCCTAGAGACGATGAGGCGCCTCGGCGGGTCAGTGACTGGATGACGATAGAAAAGCGGACGAAAAGCTGGTATACCGAAAAAGTACCAAAACCAGCGCTACAGTCTCATTTTTTTT